GCTCCATTCAGCCAATAGGAAGCGACCTACAGCCCCTCAGCGTGTATAATGCCAATTTCACTCCTCGGAGCAGTTCAGCATTTCTTTCCTTCACGCTTCGCTAATTTTCGGGGGCGGGCGCCGAGAGTTTGTGAAACGTTATAATTGAAGTCTCGCATCGTTAACAAGACTAGAGCGGAGTGGAGGAAAAGGTGAATGAGATTGCATAGTAGCCGCCTCCTGAGTGGTCAGTTAACTTTATATTATGCTCAGTAAGTGGCCGGCGAGGGGGAAGGGGTGGTCAGCTGAGTAAACAAACCCTCAAGGTAATGATGTGGAAAGATGGGAAATGAGAGTTATTATGGGACACGACGGTGTCTGTCTCTCAGTCCCTCTCTGTCTCTTTTTTCTCTCTCATCATCTCACTTTTTCTCAGTCTAATTTTATTTCTCACTGTCTGCCTCTCTCTGTTTGTGTCTCTCTCTCTCTCTCTCTCTCTCTCTCTCTCTCTCTCTCTAGACGAAATAAGAGAGAAACACTGAAGAACTCTGAACCATAATGATATTTGTTACGTAAATTATTGTTGGAAAATATTACGTAAGCTGTTTATGTTTCCGAACTGTGTGAAACTGATGACACACACACACACATACAGTGAAGGGGTTAAAACATCGTACTCAAGGGATGAAGTCATCGTACTCAAGGGGTTAAGTCATCGTACTCAAGGGGTTAAATGATTGGATATAAAACAGGTTCTCGCTCATTTGAAATACAATCACCACCAATACCAATCACGTCGTATAAATCACAATCACAAAGTGTATAGATTAGCATACACAAGACTGTATAACATTACGTATTATACAGAGACAAGTATACACATCATACTGTTGTCATGTGTAAAGTTAGAACATACGAGATATACAAAGTACGAGATTTAGTGTATTTCCTAATCTCTCTCTCTCTCTCTCTCTCTCTCTCTCTCTCTCTCTCTCTCACGCATTACACCATAAAACGAGGCGCAATTACTCCCCGTAACCCACAAAAACAACCTCCTTATCTCTCTCTCTCACACACAGCTGGGGGGAGGGAGTGATCTATGACCCCTCAATAGTAACTTGTGCAATTCTTCCTCAGCTTCGAGTACAAGATTGTCCACTTCCGGCCCTTTTGTGTGTGTGTGTTAGAGAGAGAGTGAGAGAGAGAGAGAGAGAGAGAGAGAGAGATACTACCAGATTATCTATATATCTAACTTCCACTATTATTGTTCTCTATCCATCCACCCACCCATCCATCCATCCATCCACCCATCCATCCATCCATCCATCCATCCACCAAGGGCCAGATGGTCGTGGTGACTTCGGCAGGTCATTAAAGACAACCTTCGGGAATGACATAATGGATGGTGATTGGTTGTCTGAATTCTTAATGACCCGCCCACTGTGACCTCTCTTGTCAGTCAGTCAGCAAGATCCAGTCAATCAGGCCAAGTCAAACAGTCACACACACAGTCATTCAAAGAAAGCATTCATAGAGCTGCTGACGCCTCTAAGAGCAAGACACAATGGGATATGCTTGGTACACACAACTTCGTGACGTCATACGATCGTTATACTCCTAATATACTTTCACCCATAACGTTACATCACGTCTCAATATAAACCTGCACATGCTATAAAAGATATACCGATATATTCCACCTGCCACGTGAAGATATACTGTCATAACAATACAATAATATACTTCAACATATCCTGACCCTCACAAGGTATGTTAGAAGACACACAGGTAATTAACTCACCTGTGTGGTTCACCTGTTCGCGTCTCTCACCTCCCCGGCACCTTGGCTCCTGTAAAATATAATATGGCTTAGTTCATTTAGGTTAGGTTAGGTTGATCCTGTCTCTATCCAACGAACCACCACAACACCTGACAATTATCCAACACGCGTGAGGTGGTGGCAGAGCGTAAACTGATACTCAACTCTCCCCAACGCGTCACCTAGTTGTACTCTCTCACCTTATGTAACTCTTCCCTGCTTTCGTGACAGCATTTTGTAACCTTTCTTCACCCTGAGTACATGTGTGTTGTATTTCCTGTGTAATCTTTGTAATTATCCTATACTGTATGTGTTGAAGTGTTTCTCGGTTTCCTATTGGCCGAATGTTTGTGTTTACATTCTCTTGTCAGCTTCCTATTGGTTGAAAGCTTTTGTATACATCTGTCACCTCTCCTATTGGCTCACTTGCTTGTGTTTACCTCCGTCACCTCTCCTCCTATTGGTTGACCGACTGCCTTGCAATACTATGGGAAGTGAGTAGAATTCCAGGAGTTTAGGCAAATTCTCAGTTTTTTAAGGATTTTTGTTTTGCGATATTCTCAGTTCTTCTTTCTGTACGGCCGTCACTCCAGCTCCTGTGGTATTATAATGTTTTTGTTTTAACTCGTGGCGTAAACTGAATTCCCAGTGGCTGTTCACATAGATCATCTTAATTCTTATTGGTTTTTCACATAGATCATCTTAATTCTTATTGGTTGTTCACGTAGATCATCTTAATTCTTATTGGTTGTTCACGTAGATCTTAATTCTTATTGGTTGTTCACATAGATCATCTTAATTCTTATTGGTTGTTCACGTAGATCATCTTAATTCTCATTGGTTGTTCACATAGATCATCTTAATTCTCATTGGTTGTTCACATAGATCATCTTAATTCTCATTGGCGGAGACAGGTGTGATATATTAACTGCCCTTGGCTATGACACAGGCGTGATGTGTTATTACCGAGTGCTGTAGGCCACGAGAGAGAGAGAAAAAAAAAATCGGAATAAGATAAACAAACGTAGCAATAAAATTCACCCAGAAGAGAAAAAAATAAAACAGTAGAAACATAAACATAAAGAGAGAGAGAGAGAAGAGAGAGGTGGGAAGAGAGAGAGAGAGAGAGAGAGAGAAAGTGTTGATACAGCGATCGGCGTCAAAGAAGCAAGGGGCCGGAAGCATGGGGGAGGAGGAAGAGGAGGGGGAGGAGGAGGAGGGGTGGGATGGAGGGAGGGGAGACTTACGTAACATTCCCTACCTTTTCCCACAGGAAGAATTCGCTTCGTCATCTCCCCGCTATAGTTCCGTTCTTACCTCAGGGGGCGTGGCAATCTGGGCCTGGGGGGAGGGGAGGGGGGGTGCGGGGAAGGAGGTTAGTGGATGAAGGGAGGGGGGTGTTTTAGGGGATTAAGGAAAGAGTAGGGGGTGTTTTAAAGGGTTAAGGGTCAAATTATCCTGACCTGACCAAACCAAACCTAATCTCATTCCCCCAAATAGTCTCAGGGTGATTAATCTTCAGGTGATCCACAAGGCTGATAATTACATGACAGCGAAAGTATCATTTAGTTGACAGGAAAAAATGTTAATTGGGAGTAAAAAAGTTAATTATCTGACAGTGAATAATGATCAGGTATTTAACAGTGAAATTAACAAATATTTGACCGTGAAAATGTTAATAACTTCAGACTTCTCTCCCTCTTTCTCCCTCACACCTCTCTCTCTCTCTCTCTTCCCTTCCTTTCTTCTCCCTTCACCAACACTCCCTCCCCATTTTTCTTCACCATCTCTCCCTCCTCCTCCATCTCCACTATCACCCCCACCAACACCCTCTTACCTCCCCCTCCACCAACAGTGCCTCTCCCTCCATCACCCCTCCTCCCCTCACACCCCTCCCCTCACACCCCCTCCCCTCCACACCCCTCCCTCCCACACCCCCCTCCCCTCCACACCCCCCTCCCCTCCACCCCCCTCCCCTCCACCCCCCTTCCCCACCTCCCCTAACCTCCTCCATTTCCTTAACCCTCTCCCCCCCTTCCCCCTCAAGCAGTTAACGCAATTACACACACACACACACACACACACACACACACACACACACACACACACACACACACACACACAGACACACACACACACACACACACACACAGACACACACACACACACACACACACACACGAGACACACACACACACACACACGAGACACACCCATTTGACAGTCGGGTCGTTTCTCTATGTTATGTCTTTACGCATGTCTGTTTCCGCGTGCGTGTCCGTGTCTGATTGTCTGTCTGTATGTCTGTATGTCTGTGTTTCAGTGTCTGCATGTCAGTATCTGTATGGGCGTCTATGTCTGTCTGTCTATGTATGGGTGTCTGTATGTCTCTGTATGAGTGTCTATATGTCTACCTGTCACCTGTATATCAGTATATGTATAAATCTGTCTATTCATGTCTGTATATTTGAACCCCTTACTGTCTGTCTGTCTGTCTGTCTATCTGTCTGTCTGTCTGTCTGTCTGTCTGTCTATCTGTCTGTCTGTCTGTCTGTCTATCTGTCTGTCTGTCTATCTGTCTATCTGTCTATCTACCTCTCTGACTATACACCAGTGCACGTATAATCCAGTCTGTGCGTTAGTCTGTGTATGTCTGTGCGTTAGTCTGTGTATGTCTGTGCGTTAGTCTGTGTATGTCTGTGCGTTAGTCTGTGTATGTCTGTGCGTTAGTCTGTGTATGTCTGTGCGTTAGTCTGTTGAGTGAAAGGAAGAGGAAACAGCGACAGGGAACTAAAATATAATTAACGAGGAAGTTCAGTACACAGTCAACACTTCATATATATAATGTAATCACACGTCTAACGACCCTTACTTCCTGCTTACCTGTCGCAACGATGGTAGATAGGTACGTAGGTAAGTAGCTAGATAGATAGATAGATAGATAGATAGATAGATAGATAGATAGATAGATACAAAATAAGCTAACCTAACCTAACACTAACCTAACTAAACCTATCCTAACCTAATTTAACCTATCCCAGTCTAGCCGAACCTAACCTAACCCCATTCCCCCAAAATAGTATCAGGGTGATTAATCTTCTGGTGAAATAAGCTGGGGTGGAGATTCTTCAGGTGACCCACAACACGTTATACTGTACTGTGATAACTATTAATTAACCTACCTTCACCTTACCTTTAACAGGAAACATAAAAAAAAACGAACTGAAACGAAGAAGCGACAAAGAAAACGAAGAAGCGACGAAGAAAACGGGAATAAACAAGAAAACGGGAATAGACTAAAACAGAAAACGGGAATCGAAAAACACCAAAGAAAACTATAATAACTAAACAATGAGACGAGTTTTAAGTTCCTGTGGTCAGTGTCTTGTTACCTGTGACCTTCTTGCACGGACACACTGAAATATCAACAATACTGATAATAAATAGAAAAAAAAATACATTAAATATATAAATAAAAGAATAAAGAAGGAAAGAAGGAGAAAGAAAGGTTATATACTAGGAACAAGAGATAAAGTTTTGGTAGTGTTGGCGGCCATTGTGGATCTGTGGGGTGTTGTTGTTCGTGTGTTACAAGATGGCGTCAGATATCGGTGTTCAGCTGGTGGTGTTGTTGGGGTTATTGTGCTGGTGTTGGGCTGACCACCACGAGGTAAGTGTGACCGCTACCACTATCACCACCCACCACCACTATCACCACCTCTACCATCACCATCATCATCCACCACTATCACCACCTCTACCATCACCATCATCATCCACCACTATCACCACCTCTACCATCACCATCATCATCCACCACTATCACCAACACCACCAAAACCCTCATAGTTACAAACCATAAGTCACCTACCATTATCGTCACCCACCACCACCATTAGAATCACCATCCACTCTTAACCACCACTATTACGCCCACCACTATCATCCACGCCATACCACTATCATCCACGCCGCCCACCAGTTAAAATAAAATAATCATAAACTAAAATGTGTATTCTTAAAAAAAAAAATTAAGATAGTTATGTCCAGTGCCCATAAAAAAAAAAAAAAATTAAGATAGTTATGTCCAGTGCCCATCGTATTTTAGGGTAGTTTTGTCCAAGTATGTATTTCTGTGATTGTGGCAAAGTCTTGAATTAGTTATGTCCAATCAAGCTTTATTACACTTAAGTCCAATCAAGCTTAGTATAATAATGTCTACCATGTCCTAATACCCCCTACCTTATCCTACCATGTCCTAATACTTCCTACCCTGTCCTACCATGCCCTAAACCATCCCTACTGTACCGTGTCCTAAATTGCCTGGTGTCCAACAGAGGTGTGAGGAAGGCTGGACAGGACCCGAGTGTGAGGTGGCCCTGTGTCCGGCCGGGTGCCATCCTATCCACGGCAACTGCACCCGACCCGGCCAGTGTGTGTGTGTCCCAGGTGAGGTCTACTAGCTGTCTACTGTCTACTTATGTGCGTGTTTATGTCTGTGTGTGTGTGTGTGTGTGTATCTACTAGCTATATTGACTCGTGTGTGTCCCAGGTGCGAATCTACTACTACACACACACACACACACACACACACACTGTACAGAGACATAACTTGGTACCCTACACCCAAGGATGGCTACGACCTCAGTTTAGTGAGTGTATACTGCTATTACCCTTTGTGTACACCAGTGTAAGTGTATTATGGTGTAGTGTATCCCTGTCAGCATACTGTTTACCTATACCACGGCAGCTACAGTATACTTGCAGTCTACCTCAGTGTAAGTGTATCATGGTGCAGTGTACCTCAGTGTAAGTGTATCATGGTGTAGTGTACCTCAGTGTAAGTGTATCATGGTGTAGTGTATAGATATAACTCGAGCCTCTACACCCCCAGGTTGGCGAGGACGACAGTGTAGAGAGTGTGTACCTCGGGCGGGGTGTCAACACGGCTCCTGTACCGACACCAACGACTGTCTCTGTCACCCTGGATGGTCGGGGCCTCTGTGTGCCAGACGTGAGTGAGGGAGGGAGGCTAGGAGAAAGAGGGCGGGAGGCTAGGAGAAAGAGGGCGGGAGGCTAGGAGAAAGAGGGCGGGAGGCTAGGAGAAAGAGGGCGGGAGGCTAGGAGAAAGAGGGCGGGAGGCTGGGAGAAAGAGGGCGGGAGGCTAGGAGAAAGAGGGAGGGAGGCTAGGAGAGGGCGGAGGCTAGGAGAAAGAGGGCGGGAGGCTAGGAGAAAGAGGGCGGGAGGCTAGGGAGAAAGGGCGGGAGGCTAGGAGAAAGGGGCGGGAGGCTAGGAGAGAAAGAGGGCGGGAGGCTGGGAGAAAAGAGAGGCTAGGAGAGAAAGAGGGCGGGAGGCTAGGAGAAAGAGGGCGGGAGGCTAGGAGAAAGAGGGCGGGAGGCTGGGAGAAAGAGGGCGGGAGGCTAGGAGAAAGAGGGAGGGAGTGAGGGAGGAAGACTAGGAAAAAGAGGGAGGGAGAGAGGAAGGAAGGAAGGAAGGATGAGAAAGAGAATTTTGGAGGGAGTTCAGTTACTTCGCCCACTGTGTTAAGTTACAGTTAACATTCTGCTCTCTAACATTTTAAGTCATTGCTAACCTAACCTAACATAAACTAACATGTATCTTAAATCACTGTAAACCTAACCTAACATGTTAACTTAAATCACTGCTGGTCTAACCTAACCTAACAAGTTAAGTCACAATTAACATATGTCACAATTTTAACTGTGATCTTCCCCACCACAGCGGTGTGTGAGGAAGGCTGCCACTCTGTCCACGGATACTGTCATGTTCCCGGCGAGTGCAAGTGAGTACTGACAGAGTGCAAGTGTGTGAGTACTGACAGTGTAAGTGTGTCAGAGTTCTACACTGAGCCACTCTAAAGTGAACGAGTGTGTCATTAATGAAAGTCAATTGAGTGCAACTAAAGAGAGAAAACTATACACACATCTACCTTATGTTCACTCTCCGACACTTCCACTCTCCTGCAGGTGCCGCGTCGGGTACTCTGGCCCAACCTGTCATGAGTGTCAGGCCCCGACAGGCTGCCTCAACGGGTTCTGTACTAAACCTCTCGAGTGCAAGTGTAACCCTGGATGGTCGGGTCCACTCTGTGATACACGTGAGTACTTGAGTGTCACGTCTCTGTCATGTCATGTGCTCACAACACACTAACAGCTTCTCATGTCATAAGCTCCAAACACTGAGTCATGTCACAAGGTCTGTTCAGCACCTTCCTCCCCAACAGCTGTGTGTGCCGAGGGCTGCAGCGAGAAACAGGGATACTGCACCAAGCCGGGGGAGTGTAGGTACGTCTGTTTGCCTCCTGTTTATACTAACACACACACACACACACACACACACACATGCATACACTGACATACGAGTATAAACACACACACACAATAAACATTTGGCTTATTACAACTGTTAAAACTGTTAAGTCGTCTCACTGCTTATGATTACAGGTGTGAGGTGACTAATTAGCTCTCCCTATTACATGTGTGAGGTGACTAGTTAGGTCTCCCTATTACAGGTGTGAGGTAACTAGTTAGGTCTCCCTATTACAGGTGTGAGGTGACTAATTAGCTCTCCCTATTACATTTGTGAGGTGACTAATTATCTCTCCCTATTACAAGTGTGAGGTAACTAATTATCTCTCCCTATTACAGGTGTGAGGTGACTAATTAGCTCTCCCTATTACAGGTGTGAGGTGGGGTGGTGGGGAGAGCGGTGTAACCTGTGCTTCCCCTACCCAGGCTGTGAGCACGGCACCTGTGAGAAGCCGTGGGAGTGTGTGTGTGAAGCAGGGTGGTCGGGCATGCTCTGTGATACACGTGAGTGAGGGAGGGTGAGAGGAAGGGGGGAAGGAAGGAGAAGGAGGGAGGTTGAAGGGAGGGAGAGAGGGTGAAGGGAGGGTGAAGGGAGGGAGGGCGGGAGAGAAGAAACTGAATGAAAACAATATGATAAAATTATATGCAATAAACTATTGAACGTTACAGGGGTAACCTGAAGATTAGACACCCCAAACCTTATTTCACCCTCAGATTAGCCACCCTAACGCTCATTTAACTTAACCTAATCTAACTTAACTCCATCTAACGCTAACCTAACCTCACCCAACCCATGAGGTAGTGTTAGGGTGTTTAATCTTCAGGTGATATAACACTGGTTGGGGGAGGGGGGGTAGTGATCCAGCGTCAGTGTTGATCAAGTTACTGTTATGTTATGTTACAGCTGCGTCAGGCGGCGCCTTCTGTGGGACTCACCGGGGTTGGTGCCTCAACGGTGGCACTTGTATCGACGTCCCCGGCGGCCGTAACTTCACCTGCTCCTGCCCGTCGCTCTTCACGGGTCAGCGCTGTGATTACCTGGCCGACCTGACCTCTGACGCTCCAGCTGCTGACCCCGGCGGGATCCTCTCCACGGGGACGCGACACAACGTTCGGGTCATCTCCCCTGACAACTCCTCCCCGTCAGGCACGTACTCCCTCACACAACCCACCACCAGCAACATTTCTAAAGACACGGACGAGGTCACGGACGCCACGGAGGAGGTCAAAGTCGAAGAGGACCCCAAGGACGTCAGACGTAGGTTCCTGCAGAAACACGCCCGAATATCCTTCCGTCAACCCAAACTGGCGAGTAGCGAGGAGCAGTCCAGTAAGCTGCCCTACATGGTGGTGGAGAGGAAGTTGCTGCCGCTGCCGGTGGTGCTGCCCCGAGTGAGTGACATCATCCCCAGGGACCAGATGTTGGCCCACAAGCTCAACAAGCAGCCCACACCCATACTCATCCTGGGAGACTCAGACAACACCCAAGACAACTCCAAGACGATGAGGTACTCCCTGCAACAGCAGACCGAGACCTCTGGGAGAAACCAGATCAGTGAGAACAGACGGTTTCTCCGACACCAGCAGGGGTCACCAGGTTTCATTTCCAGTGTGGGAGAGAACAGGAACGGCCCGGCGCCGCCTCACGGGGGGCCGGTACTGGTGAAGGTCCTCAATTCTCAGCGTCGACCCATACTGGTGAGCGCCCAGGCCAGGGCGCTACCCAGACGGAACCCCATGACTCCCGCCACCCTCAGGACCCACAAGAGACCCAGACAACAGTCCCAGGCCCATATGAAGCCTCCCACCACCACTACCACTACCCCCTCAACCACCAAGACTACTACCACAACTACTACAGAGCCCCCCACCAGACCAACTACCAAGCCATCCACTTGGCCCCCCACTAGGCCAAGCATCTGGCCTACTACCTGGCCATCCTCTCACGCCACGACGCCCATTTTCCAAGAGCCATTTACCTTCACAGCGAGAACATCACCGCCATCCTCCAGACTCCCCTCACCCTCCCCCGGGACCCCAGTCGCTTTACCCTTCACCTCGGCAGATCTTGGTCCTCCTGAAGACTTCGTCGCCTTGGAGGGTCGTGAGAGCATCATCCGGACTTATTACGACGAGAACGCGAACGGTCGTGTCCACATCGGCGACATCAGTAGGGTGGACGATGCGGCTCCCCACGACGAGATCTTTGACGCCTTCATCGAACTGAAGAAAGTGTGATGCGAGTGACGCCATAACGTGACGTAATATGTATAGTGTAGTGTAGTGACATGACGACGCACCATGCCTTACGCAGTGTACGAACTTGATAATGAGAGTATGTAGTGCGTAAAACAATACATGGTTGACTCTTTGTGTTGGCCGAGTGTTTGACCTATTATCTGAGCAGTGTAAAGTGACGCTTGACAATGTGACCACCACCACCACCGCACAGCCAGGCCACCATCGCACAGCGAGGCCACTACCGCACAGCGAGGCCACCACAACACAGCAAGGCCACCACCCGCACAGCACCACAACACAGCAGGCCACCACCACAAAGCCAGGCCACCACCGCAGCACCACAACCGCAGAGAGCACACCACCGCACAGCGAGGCTACCACGCACAGCGAGGCCACAGCGAAACTATTAACACACAAGTAAATATCATAATATTCCTCTCACTTAATGCAATGAATACTGTCTCTCCATCAAACAATACTTATCTAATGGTTGTACTATCAATAAGGTCTTTCTACCTGTCCTTAATTAATTGCCAAGTAGTGTACTATCAATAAAGACTATTCCCCCGACCTGAAGCACTTGTCAGAGGCCGTCAAGTTGTCCTACAGGTAAAGAAAGAATCTAACCTAACCTAACTTGACCTAAACCTAATCTGACTTGACTTGACCTATCCTAACCGAACCTAACCTTAACCTGACCCGACCTTACCTGACCTGACCCTGGCGTCCGTACACAGTAGTCTAAAGTAACATGTTAAAACTGGGTCTCTGTTTGTAAGGATTAGAAGGATCACCTGAAGATTAACCCCCCAGCTTAGTTCACCTTTAGATTAAACAACCAAAGCCTAACCTAACCCCCAAGCTTATTTCACCTTAAGATTAAACAACCAAAGCCTAACCTAACCCCAAGCTTATTTCACCTTAAGATTAAACAACCAAAGCCTAACCTAACCCCCCAAGCTTAGTTCACCTTTAGATTAAACAACCAAAGCCTAACCTAACCCCCAAGCTTATTTCACCTTAAGATTAAACAACCAAAGCCTAACCTAACCCCAAGCTTATTTCACCTTAAGATTAAACAACCAAAGCCTAACCTAACCCCCCAAGCTTAGTTCACCTTTAGATTAAACAACCAAAGCCTAACCTAACCCCCAAGCTTAGTTCACCTTTAGATTAAACAACCAAAGCCTAACCTAACCCCCAAGCTTAGTTCACCTTTAGATTAAACAACCAAAGTCTAACCTAACCTAACTCTTCAGGTAACATTAGGGGGTTTAATCATCATGTACAATAAGCAGGAAGGGGAGGGGACTAATCCTCAGGTGATTTTTCAGTCTCGTGCGGCAGCAATATGTCTTTAGTCTTTAACTTGGGCATAAATAGAAGAAAAAATAATAATTATATATATTTTACATAGCATTTGTTGTTTTATTGTCCTCTCGGCCCCGCCCCTTACCCCCTCCCCTCACATTTATATAGTATAATACATTTAGTGCGTTCGGCTGTTAACGGAAAGGTTGGTGGTTGGAGCCCATCCGGGGAAAACAATTTTTCACTAAGATCACAGTATAATAATAAAATATGTAATTGCGACTGGATGATAATAGATTTGCGGACCGTGTTATGGGGTGATGATTAGCCAGTGTCGTTATTGAGCTGTCCGGTCTTCTTTTTTTTTCATGACATTGGATCATACAGCTTGTTAACCTAAGGTGTTGTTGCGTGGGCGACAGCTGCCACACCTTAAACAAATTCACGCCCAGGTGGCCCGAGTGTCGTTGTAGCGTTCTCAGAGGTGCCCCTTGTATATAATGAGGACAAATCTTGATTAGTTTGTCAACACTGTTGGCACCAGAAAGAAACAATGGCATTGAACCAAAATTTGTGGAAACTAATATCATGATCCTGAACACGAAAATGGAAGCGAGAATACACAGAACCTAACCTAACCTAACCTTTATACTCTCGTATTATAAGTGTTTACACATCTTCATACCAGAGTATAGTTGACATACAGTAATCTGATATAAAAAATAAAATAAACACTAAAAATTATGTGTTAACATTCTACCAACACCATATTACATGTAGTAATCCAGATGATAAATGTTATATACTGTAATAATTACTAGAAATAAATGTAACACATAAGAGGTGCCACTAGAAGTCTATCTACAAATATATCAGAAATTAAAACACAGTTGTAGCAGAGCGTAGTTTCGATCTACGGACCTCTGGGTTATGGGCCCAGCACGCTTCCACTGCGCCACTCTGCTCTATAAATAGTTCACTAATGGACCACAAATATTTTACTTTTATTTGTTGTGGAAATATTTACTCAAGATTATTTTTTTTGTAACATTTACTACTTGCTGTTGTTTATTATAAATGTATTATTCTATATAAATAATAAATTCATATACAATTGAAATAAACGTAGGTAAAAATTTGTTTCCGCCCGGGATCGAACCGGGGACCTTGCGCGTGTGAGGCGCACGTGATAACCACTACACTACGGAAACACCGATATCTTATATAGTTTTTTATTTCTGAGAAATTAAACAAGACAAAAGGTGTTGTGTCGAAATTAACAGTAACTGGTATTGTTTCATGGTAATATTTGTGTAATGTGTTAAAGCAGTCACGGGTCTACTATACAGTATAACTGGCGGGAACATTTATCTTATTTCAGTTGTACTGTATATATTATACATTTATTATTTATGTACAATAATATAATACATCTATCCATAAATGTCATGTCTGTGTGCACCTTGACACTACTACTGACCACGGACCCCGTGAGTCTGTCTGTGAGTACACCACTACCTGTAGTCACCAATGTTCCGCATTTCTAGATACAATAGGAATGGATAAATGCAACCTTGAAAATATCAAGATTATGTCGACTTGTACAGTTAGTGTAATCGATTAAAGATTACTATTACTACGTGTCTGGTGTGAACTTACAGTCTCTCTAACGATTACACTGAACATTTAACTCGACCACCAGTTAACGAAGAGCTATGTTCAGTTACCACAGACTTTTTCTCCCTTATTTGCGCACAAATTAGAGACATCGTACTTATATAGCTGTTTCCGTAGTGTAGTGGTTATCACGTGCGCCTCACACGCGCAAGGTCCCCGGTTCGATCCCGGGCGGAAACACATTTTTACCTACTTTTATTTCAGTTGTATAAATTTATTTATTTATATCGTATAATACATTTATAATAAACAACACCAAGAAAGAAAGGTTACACAAAACAACAAAATAATCTTGAGTAAATATTTCCATAACAAATAAAAATAAAATATTTGTGGTCCATTAAAGTAAAAGGTAGAGCAGAGTGGCGCAGGGGAAGCGTGCTGGGCCTGTAGTGGATTCTTCCCCTACAAGCGCCGAACCTTCTCGAATTCCCCAGTCTACGCCACCAGCGCCGCCTACGGAGCGGGGGTCAACTATCTACCCATGCCTAACCCCGCCTTATAAGACCTGACACCGCTGTGACCACCCTCAGTCTACCCCGTGCCACCAGCAAGCAACACCTCTTCCTCCGCGCCAGCCTGACGGCTCCCGCTCCCGCCGGCGACCTCGGCGTCCCTCAAGTCGCGTGCTCCTCTGGTCACCCTCACCAACCAGCTCTCTCCTACTCAACGCTTGTTACCATGCTGCCTACCCAGCAACAAGCTGCACTGTACATCCAATACAATATGTATACAGGAGCACATTGTGAGTTTCCTTTCTCCATCCCATCCTGAGTATGAACCAATATCTCATTACCCCACAGGCCTATATCCCAGAGGTCCGAAAATAGTAACTACGCTCTGCTACAAGACAGTTAATTCGGACTAGCATTAATTTTGTTGTATGTAATACTGCCAACTGTGATTGGGAGATAATATAATCTTCACATGATAAAACATAACATTATCCTACAAGATTCACTTATCAAGAGATGGGTAGCCGGCCTCTGTTTATTCTAAAGCCTAACCCACAACATAAGAACTTATCTGACAATTAACCGCCCTGGCGTTAATTTATCCAACTCTAACATAGCGTTAAAGAGGTTTAATTATCAAGTGAAATAAGCTGGTGGGACGAAATCTTTATGGGATCCGAAACTTATGCCTCATTCTGAATGTGTGGCGTGTGTGTTAACGTTAGTGATTGTGAGTTGTGATAAAAGCAAAAAGAACTTGATGGTGGTACTTTGAAACAAAGCTCAAAATCTTATATTTTGAAATTATCTCCAACCCATACACTATAAGGAAGGGATTAGTGAGTGTATTCTGCAGATAAAAGGAGAACATCCAGAAGCAGATAGCAGGAGGGAGTACAACTTTATATAATACAAGTTAATATTTTTAGGTAAACAAACTTTCTTCTTGTACATTTACCCAGACACTATCTAGATCACCACAATACAAGTCTGATGGTGAGTGTAGTGTTGAAATATATAGCGAGACTACAGTGATCGCAATATATAAAGTCGCCCCCGGGTGGGCTCGAACCACCAACCTTTCGGTTAACAGCCGAACGCGCTAACCAATTGTGCCACGGAGGCATGTAAGATATAAACGAAATGCTGAAACAAAAAATGGGAAACAGGGTTGACCGAAACCCTGAAATAATCCTGTTGAGTTACTTTACTGGCGAGTAGTTGGAATGCTGGAGCAAGGGTGGTGTATGTGGTGAGCTGGCCAGGAGTGTGGGAGGGCGGTGGATGATTAAGGCAGGGTAGGTGTTGGATATTCACAATACAGTGTATCTCATTTTTTATTATATCGTGATAATATTTTGAGCATTAGTTCATATAACTGAGTACTGTAGTGTCATCAACTTGAACTTCAACTACTACCATCGGATTAAAAAACACTACTGATTATGTTCATAAAGCTACCCAAGTTTGTAGCATTTAATTTTTCAGGTAAAATATGTTATCACATCAAGTAGTTGCTTTTACCCTCTTCATCATTGATCGGCTCGTTAGCCGCTTGGGCGATCGGTCACGTCTCTGTTACGCACTGTTGGCAAATACTGGGCATGCACCGGCTCCTGAATGCATCTGAACCTGCTCCAGTGCTTGTCAAGTCTACTGATCAGCAACCTGGGACTTGGTCACAATTTTCGTGATGCCATATGGCAGCAGGGTCTACCATTAGACAACACATTATGCTTCCAATATCTTCCCAGGCGGTAGTACCTCCCTGATTGGTAGCTGCTTATTACCTACTACCTACTTACATACACCCAATCCTAGACTCATA